GCATTTGAAAATCCCATTTGGTGCCTACATAAACCTTCAGGCAACTACTTATCTTCCAAAATCCGGCCTTAAGGACTAAGTACAGACAGTCAAAAAGCCCCAGGCCGAATGGATTCAATCTCTGCAGGCTAGTCTGAACTGCACAGATTGAACTGAGAAGCGAGGGAACAGACATTCACTTCTGAAGCTGGAAAGGCAGCTAGACCTGGCCCATACCTGTAGCTGGGAGGCAATAGAGCACGCCTCCCAGCCTGCTGGCCACTGCTGAAGGCACCCAAGTGCAGCTAAGCAGGGCTCATCCTTGACTGGCTTCCCTGCACGCACTTCCCCGAACCCATGTGGCCCGCGCCCCCAGGGGAAAACAGTCCTTCCAGCCCAGGGCTGTAAGGGTACCCCAGCCTCAGGGGGTGTCCCCTGCCCCTGGCAGACCCTCTGAGGCTTATTGCCTGCTCCCTGCTCCAGTGGAGAGTAGGAGGCATGGCTAGGCCCCCACCCAGCCCAGCCTAGTGCCCTTCGTGCAGGCAGACCCCAGCTGGGGTCCAGTGCTGGGGTTCCCCTCCCTGCTTTCTCTGCCAGCAGGAGCAGTGATGGAGAGGCCTCCATCTAGGGAGCCAGCCCTGCTCCGCTGAAGCAGATAGCATGGCCCAGGGCTGCAAAGCATCCTGGGATGCTAGGGGACTGTGAGTTAACTTGAACTGGGAGGAAGTCTGCAACACAAGTTTCATAAACCCCTTTGACCTAAATCAGTTAAGTCTAATACTACATCCAACCAGGTGTATCTTAAACCAGTTTCAGCATTTCATAAGCAGTTTAAGTACACTGAACTTCTGTTCCATTATGGGTTTAAACTGGTTTCTGATCTTTTAAGCCAGTTTATGTGCAACTTCTGTGCCTAGTCAAGGTGCCCACATGTGCTTCAGTGAATGTAGAATCCTTCAAGCTTAACAGCTCCTTAAACCTTACCAGATTTCCAGGGGTGTGTAATGAAGAATGTCGATTCACTGGAATGTGACATACATTGTCTCTCTTGATTAAACCACACAATGATCTACTAACAGCTCCCTAGGCCAGCTGCTTTAAGAGCAATAAAATAAACTGACGTAAAATAGGTGTTCCCAGCTTGAACCAGCATTTGACACTCAATTATAGCAGAAAACACTGAAAATCTGCCAAAACACTGACATCAGCCTTTCATTCTAGTAGGCATTCAGAGTGATTCCAAATATAGGAGACTATTACGAAAACAGTGCTCAAGTTAGAGTGAAAGAAAACAGTGCCATCATAAGAAAGAAAATTAGAAGCACATGCTTCTAACAAGAAGGGGCAGTTTAGACAAATTCAGCAGGTCAAATCCCTGCCTGATCCCAGAGCCAAGCCAAGGGTGGAAACGACCTCCATCCACCACACCAATCCACTCCAGATTGTGCTAGGTGAGACTTGTTTTTACAATGTCCATGTTTCTGCTCCTGATGGGAGTGTAGCTAACACTGGCAGGCAGACAGAAGGAAAAATTCCTCACTCTATAACATGCTAACTCCGTTCCCTGTCCCTTCACAGAAGCCATCTCAGTGCTCCTCATGCTTTCCGTTCTTTGGCTGAAGGGAGAAACTGGTGGGGCACAACAGGTCTTGTTCGGATTCTTGCCCTGGGAGTTAAACTAGTGTAAGGTGTTGCAGAGTTGAGACCTAATTCTGGTCTTGATTATGCCAGCATAAGTCAGCAGTAAAGCCACAGCAATCAGTAGAGCTGTACAGCCTTGTGCTTTTAGCTCTGGAGTATGAAATTAGTGTGGGAGAAGAATCCAATCCACAGACCCAAAAAGAAAATCCTCATGGGACTGGTCAAGTTGCAGAACCAGCCAAAATGAGAAAAGAAGCTCATCACATATCGAGAATACGTAGGCCTCCTCTTATTCTTGAAAAACTGCTTTTGGCAAAATTTGGAAATATCTTCTCTCACCAGTATGTTGCTAAAATACTGAAGAATTAAAGCACGCTACAAAGTCAGTCTGATTGGCAGGAAATTCTGCATGCCCATTTAATAGATCCTGAGTCTAGAATTTATTTTGTCTTCCTACTACTTGACACAGGCACTAGCTGTGAGGCTAAACAAATAAGGCACCCAAGCCTCATTACATTTGAATAATTTCCATTGACTTCAATAGAAGCAGAGAGAAGCACTGGGCTTCTATTTACATTCAGTTCATAGGAGAGTTCATTTATGCTGGGTACAGTACTTTATAACCCATGAGGAATACTGTATTTTCTTATACGCAACAAAGCCAATTGCTAGAAATTAGGATGTGCAGCATAAGCAAGGAAACACAGTAACCTGCTGCTTAAGTTTTTGCTGGGCAAAAGTGAAAGTGCACTTTAGTTAATGTGCATTAAATCTAGAACCTCCCTTGTGAGGTACTAGGAAAATGTATATTAGCCTGGCTTAAAGCACATTAACTAAAGTGAATGCTTTTTAAGTGTTGTTTAATTTGCATTAAGACAGGCTAATGCACATTTTCCTAGTACCTCACAATGGCATCTACACGTTCGCTTTAATGTGCATTAGCCTATTTTAATGTGCATTAAGTAACACGTGGTTTTTACATGACACTTAAATGCACACTGAAATAGGCTAATGCACATTAAAGCGAACATGTAGATGCCATTGTGAGGTACTAGGAAAATGTGCGTTAGCCTGTCTTAATGCACATTAACTAAAGAGCATGGGGTGCCTATACACGAGCAGGGAGGCTGCTCCAACATGCTGAAATTCCAGCGCATCGGAGCAGACTTGATTACCCAAGTCTGCTGGAACGTGGCAATTACTGGACTCCAGCAGCCTCCCATGTCTTGCGTATCAGCATCCCCACACTTTAAAATGGCTGCAGGGGTGCTTTATCTAAAGCTTGTTTGACAAACACTCAGAGCCACTCTAATTAAAGTGCCCCCGCCCCACTCCCAGGGCACGTGTATAAACACCCTGGTGGCATGTAATGTGCATTAGCTTATTTTAATGTTCATTAACTAAATAGCACCGTTTTTTAGTGACACTTTAATAAGCATTAAAAGAGACTAATGTGCATTAAAGCACATGTGTATATACACTCAGCCCACTGTGCATGAAGTTCACAGGGAAAAGAATAAGAAGCAGGCTCAGCTCCTTAGCTGCTGCCATTCAGTTATTACAAGGAAATATCTTTCTTTCTTCACTATGCCCTTCAAAAACAAAGCATATATCTTATTCTTGAAAAAATACAGTATATTTGTACTGAACATGAACTTGAAGTGCCTTTAAGATTCATTCAGACATAGTTTAACCCAACATCAGCAGTCCTGATAAAGCTTCTCCCCCATTCCCCCCCCAAAAAGGTGACAAAAAGTAGAAACTAATTTTCACAAAATTCTTCATCAGTTATACCCCTCCCTTATTTTTCCCCAGATGGCAGTAAACATAAAGGTAGTTATGATAGGAGCTATCTCCAAAATGTCCATCTTAATAAGGTATTGCATATAACTTTGTGCATCAATCCAAATATGCACCCTTGTGCTGAACCATCTACAGTGCATTAAAATTTAAAAACGAGCTCCCTGCGCTGTCCTAGATGGAAGTTCTGTCTGAGAAAAGCTTTGAACAGCAGTCATTTTCTAGTTTGAACTTTTGAGATCACAACAAATCTGGGAGTAACAGGCTTGTTTTGCTTCTTAAGCTTAACATATTGGTACAATCTAGAAATATTTACTAGGATCTTATGTTTAGTGTACGGAAAAATGCAATTAAAAGAAAGATGAAAAATAAGGTGTGCATTTCATGCCAATGTGCATATTTTAAATAACTGTGTCAGTGTGTTCTAACCATTTACCTTGGTGCCCTGGCGAGGCAAGACATGAGGGGGCCGCATCTCTTTGGCTCTTCAGCTGTAGCTGTGGAGGCTCATGCTTTTCACTCCCGAAGTCACCAATTTACTCCCTCTGTCAGTCCAGGGGCAGACATCAATAGGGACCGCAGTTTAGTTGGGTTTAAACAAAGCCACAGAAGTCAAAGACTTCAGTGGAGCCCAGAATTAGATTATTAGATTTGTGTTGGATTTTTAGAAATGTAACAAAAAAAAGGCCAAGTTTTTTGACTGATCTCATGATGTCACAGGAAGCAGTCTGCATTTGTGTGTATTAACATACCTTGAATATCTCACTACTACACAAAATCCACTTGCTTATGGTTCAGCAATATAGCTATTGAACACTTAACATTGCTTGCTTACTAATGCTTTCTTTTCAAAGTTTTCATTAGAGTAATTCCATATGGTGATTTTTGAGAAAAAAAGTAAAACTAGTTAAACATTTAAAATACGCTTTTGTAAAGCACCTTTAAATACTTTTGTGTTGACTTATTAGGTCTGCTCTCCCAGAAAAGCAAATCTCTCTGCTGGATGTAACTTTCTGTAATTTTAATTTGAGAAACTGTCTGGCAAAGCAAAAGCATTTCCTTTGGACAATGATTTCATAGGCCATCTATATATAGGCTATCTGAGTTAAAACAAAACTAACACACAGACTTCTGGAACCCTGACAAAGATTTAGGAACTGAGTGGCAACATATTTGATAACTGCATACAGAAATAATGGAATATGGATACAATTTAGGAGAATTAATCTTTACTTTGTCAAAGGTCTTGTCTACACAGCATGGCTGCTGATTTAATTGAGTTTAGAATGCAATTTAGTTACATCAGCACAACTCCCTAGTGTGAACATGCCAGGATTCGATTAAGAATGTCCTATTTTAATTTAAGTCAACTCCTTCCACATAAAAATCAAGTAAAAATCAAAACAAGCCATTTTTCATTCCACATAAAACTGTCCCCACCATTAGATGCTCAAATTGTACAGCAGACCAGCCCAACAAATAAGGATACTTCTCACTGAAAGCAGGTGGAGTTTTGAATGGTAAATACTGCAAAATTGGGAACATTATGTGGTTACAGAGGAGCACTATTATCATAATGGGCCACATCCTGGTCTCATTTATCAGACAGTCATTTCAAGATCTCTGGAAAATACTGGGCTTGCTATTGGATTTCTGCTGGCAGCAGAAACTGAAGCAGAGTCTAGTGCAAACGTAGTCCTGTCTCAAACCCAATACATTCAAGCTTTCATGGGACAATGGATCAAGCCCTTAATTAGAGAAAAAGTGCAACCTTGTTTTCCTTTAGACAAATGATGGATTGGCAGAATACATTTATGCCACCACTGCTTATAAAGCAGCGTAAAAATTGTATTGCCTATTACCCTGTGGCAATCTTATTTCTCCAATTCATATGCTTTGTAATTACATTTCATCAAATTCATTCCCCTGTTTATTTCAGAGTTCAGATTTTGGTCCAAACTCTTTAGGACAAAGGTGAATTTTAGTTTCATTTCACTCTCTCTCTGTTTTTCTATGATACTAATTACTTTTTTTAAATGCATTTTAATGGATTTTGTTTTAAGAGCTATTACAAATTTAAAATCCAGATTGTATTATCAAGAACAACATAGCTAAAGGAAACTCAAAAATAGAAAGGCAAAGTAGACCAGTTCAGCTCCACCAGGCACCGAATTGCACATCCCATACCAAATACTTTATGACTTTGTACTCCAACTGCTTTACAACATAAGGTGCAAATTTGACAGTATCTACACGATATTGGCTCCCACTATCATGGTGCGCAGGTTGGGAAAGGGAGCAGATCCAGGAGGGGATGCTGGTAGCCAATGCGAAGAAGAAGCTGCTATGGGGATTCACTAGGATTGTGGGCATGAGCAATGGCAGTATAATGTCATCTTTATCTCTCCTCACTACCGAAAATGCAGTGAGTAGAGCCCTGGATCTAAGCCTAAGCACATATATCATATTTCATGGCATCACACAGCTTTTCTTATTGCGAAGCCCTTTGAAAGGTTATACACTCTTGCTAGAGAACCACCAAGAAGGAAACACAGTAGACTTTGTTTCATTTTCGCAAATGCCGTTTTAAATGTCGTACTCGTCAATGGCCGCGTCTACGCAAGTGGCAGACTGCGCACTTGTTACTGTGCAGTCATTTAGTACTTGCATAACCAAGTACTAAATGACTGCGCAGTAACTGGCATTACTACACAGTAGTGTTACATAGTTAGTGCCCGCCAACACTACTGCACAGTTGTGTCTCGCACAGACGCACCCACTGTAGGGGGCCCATGAATAGTGGAGGATCAGAACTTTGGACAAACTTACAAGTAAATGCAGAGGAAACGTGAGCGGCTGTTTCACTGACAGCTCTAATACTGCCTCAGCCTGAGACCCCCTGCAAGTGACTTAACCTCGTGCTTATCCACCTCACCTGTACGGCATGCTCCTCACTCAACCAGTTGCACTAGCAAAGCTGAGGGCCTTGTTGCATGGGATACAGCACAGGTTTCATTTAGATCACAGTTGGCCACATCTGCACGAGACTGCGCAGTAGCTGGTTACTACCCCGCAGTAGCGTCATGTGGCAGGAAACATGACGCGATGCTACTGCACAGTACTAATGAACTAAGGCGCAGTCGGCACCACAAAAAAGCCGTTTGGCAACACTACTGTGCAGTAACTGAACAGTCATTTAGTACTTGTATAAACACGGCAGCGGCAGCACAGTCAGCGTCCCATGCAGATGTGGCCAGTAAGACTTAGAACTTGTTCTGAGCAGTCCCACGGTAATGCTTGACAGTCGGAGCAGGCATGGAGCCAGCTGTGACTGACAAACAGCTATTTGCCAAGGCTGGACCTAACAAAGAGCTGCCAGTCCAAGCTCCCACACCACACTGGAGTCACTAAGGACCACTCCTATTATCTCGGTCCCACAATAGCTGAACACATGTTACTTAATATCATCTGGACATACTCCTGCTGTGAAAAGTACTAACTTTGCTATGCCAGGACGGCACTTAGCATGTTTTATTGGTTGAATGTGTGGCCACTGGTGCCTTAAGTGCAGTTAACACATCCTAAGTGCAACACATGACAAGGCCTTGAGAACAACTTCACTGGCTCCTTCTGCATTATTCTAGATTTATACTGATGTGACCAAACAGGATCTAACTCAGCACTACTTCTAACCTCATTTCACCAGTTTTAAGGATAAACTACATGTCAGCCAGTTGTTTGCAAAGCTCTGTGCTGTACCTGAATAGAAAAATGCAATTGTAAAATAATGTGGTGTGGAAATCTCACCTCTGATTTCTTGAACAGTTGCTAAAATACTTGGCTTTTCTTCCTGTCAACTCTTATCTATTTGGGAATGTGCATCAACGCTTTCTACATTAATCAGGATTTGCTGCATGTAGTTAAACTTCACTCTCAGCAGTTTCAGGGTGGAATATGCTTGTGATAACCCACCAATCCTCCTTGTTCTTTCCAAAAGCCAAGAAAAGATTAACCAAATTTGTGTCTGTTACACAGCTAGAGCTCCAGTGGCTTGATAGAGCAACCCAAGAGAGTTCAGCCCAGTTAAACCAATGGAGCCTTTATTTGGACTCTGCAACCATCCATTCTTGCTTAACTGGACACTTCAGCTCCCAGCGCAAGGTCAGATGCTGACTGGACTTAGAGCTCTTTAGCAAGTTCACCAGTCCTGGAGCACCTTACCTTCTACAGTCTGCATCATTGCTAACTGAGATGGTGCAGTTGCAAATAATACGACTCCGAAGCTTTAACAGTCTTAAAAAATGACCAAGGCAACCTGCAAGCTATGACGCTTGCCTGCTTACCAAGCAAGGAGAACTTAAGGCTTCGTTAGACCTTATGCTTAAGTCAAACAAATGTTAATTTGTTTAGGTTGTTTGGCTTAGTAGAGCAGTCACTTATCGGTAGGGTGATAAACCTGCTCTGACTATCCTTCACCTGCACCGCTGTGATTTGCCACAAGAGGCTTGGAGAGCAGGGGCAGGACTAGGAGCAGGGCCAGCCCGGTGCTCCTGCTGGGCAGAGAGTGGGTCCACCAACCTGCCAGGGGTGGGGAGACCAGAGAGACCCGAGGAGCAGCTTCCCTGGGGCTCTCTGGTCTCCTAAAACCAATGCAGTGGCTCAGCTAGAGCCCTGGCAGCCCTGCTCTCAGCACAGAGCTGCTGCAGCTCTACGGTACCAAGCTGCTTCCCCGGGGATCTCTGGTGTTGTTGAGCTGAGGCAGCTCTGCACTGAGAGCAGGGCTCTCAGGGCTTAAGCACAATGCTGATGTGTCAGTTAGAACCAGAGAGGCCCTGGAGCTCACGTGCTGCAAGAGGCCCAATCCTTTTTTCTCTGGAGCTAAGGCAGTGCCTGCCACTGGTGCTGCCAGGATGCATCATGGCTGATGGGCGCTCTAGGGCTGCAGCACTTTCGCTGCCCGACATCCCTGGGGGGTGAGGCACCATGCTCAGCCCCAATACACCATGGCATCCCCATTCACCCTGAGTCAGGATGGGCCGCTGCATTCTGGGATACTAGAGGACTTCAACTTGGGCGGAATGGCTGTGGGAAGTGGCCAAATGATAATGAAACAGGAACAAAATTAGGCAGATTGGAGATAATCTGGCCCTGCAGTAGTGTAACTAAACTGAATGATAAGTGCTTTAAACCACTTAAAAGGTGTTAACATGCAGCCAATCCAGGGGTTAAGAGCTCCAGAAGCCACCTAACTTTACTGTGTAACAAGGCCCTTATTCAAAAGTCCTTATATATGTTCACCACTGTTTTCTTGCATATCACACACCTTTTCTTCTTAAAATCAGCTACTAGAAATTCAGTTTCATAGTTTCATAGTTTCTAGGGTCGGAAGGGACCTGAGCAGATCACTGAGTCCGACCTCCTGCCGTGGCAGGGAAGAGTACTGGGGTCAAATGACCCCAGCAATGTGTACATCTAGCCTCCTCTTAAAGACCCCCAGGGTAAGAGCCAGCACCACTTCTCTTGGAAGTTGGTTCCAGACCCTAGCCGCCCTGACCGTGAAGTCGCGCCTCCTGATATCTAGCCTAAATCTACCCTC